TACTTGGTAGAGTGGGTTTACAATCAGACTGTAATTTGGGATGTGCATTCTCCAAAACCCCACAACACCTAGGAAAGTCTGTGTTTCTTTTTTGTTAGTTGGTGGAGACATAGCTGTTATTTTGTTGATCACAGCCATTGGGATTTGACGACGTCCGTCTTGCCATTTTATTCCTAAAAACTGGATCTCTCGTGCAGGTCCTTTGACTTTATTTTGTTTTATGGCAAAACCGGCTTTCAGAAGGATTTGGACTATTTTCTTCCCTTTCTCGAAAACTTCCTCTGCTGTGTCACCCCACACAATAATGTCATCGATGTACTGCAGGTGTTCAGGAGCTTCCCCCTGCTCTAGCGCAGACTGGATCAGCCCATGACAAATGGTAGGGCTGTGTTTCCACCCCTGGGGCAGCCGATTCCAAGTATATTGGACTCCCCTCCAAGTGAAGGCAAATTGTGGCCTGCACTCTGCTGCTAGAGGGATGGAGAAGAATGCATTAGCGATATCAATTGTGGCGTACCACTTGGCTGCCTTCGATTCAAGTTCATACTGAAGTTCCAGCATGTCCGGCACTGCAGCACTCAGTGGTGGCGTGACTTCGTTCAGGCCGCGATAGTCCACTGTTAGTCTCCACTCGCCATTAGACTTTCGCACTGGCCATATGGGACTATTGAAAGGTGAATGAGTCTTGCTGATCACTCCTTGGCTCTCCAATTGACGAATTAGCTTATGGATGGGGATCAGGGAGTCTCGGTTAGTGCGATATTGCCGCCGGTGCACAGTTGTGGTAGCGATTGGCACTTGCTGTTCTTCGACCCTCAGCAACCCCACAACAGAGGGGTCCTCTGAGAGACCAGGCAAGGTAGATAATTGTTTAATACCCTCTGTCTCTAAGGCAGCTATACCAAAAGCCCACCGGAACCCTTTTGGGTCCTTGCAATATCCTCTTCTAAGATAGTCTATGCCAAGGATACATGGAGCATCCGGGCCAGTCACAATGCGGTGCTTTTCCCACTCATTCCCAGTCAGACTCACTTCAGCCTCCAATACAGTCAACTGCTGAGATCCCCCTGTCACTCCACAAATATAGATGGGCTCTGGTCCTTTATAGCTCGATGGCATTATAGTACATTGTGCACCGGTGTCTACTAAAGCCTTATACCTCTGTGCGCGTGATGTGCCAGGCCATCGAATCCACACAGTCCAATAAACTCGATTATCCCTTTCCTCCCCCTGGCTGGAGGCAGGGCCCCCCTAATCCTGGTCAGAATCTTCCTCGGTTCTGTGTTTGAAGGACTGTCTGCTGGAAGTTGGAGCAGCAAACTTTTCAGAGAATCCCTTTTTCCTGATTGTTTTCTTTTGCAACTCACGTACCCGTGCGTCTAGGGTTGCGGTAGATTTTCCATCCCATTTTCTCATGTCCTCTCCATGGTCTCGTAAGTAAAACCACAGGGTGGCACGGGGTGAGTACCCACCATATCGTCTTCCTTGTGTGGGTGAACGCCTACCCCTGACAGCTGAGACACTGCTTTGTACAGGTACGGAGGAGAATAATCTCTCTTCAAGCTGGTGAACCTTTTCAGAAAGTTTCTCCCAAGTGTTCTCTTTTGGTTGTTGGACACTGGTTGGTTCAGGTTGGGGGGAAGATAGATTCTCTTTAAGTTGGTGGACCTCTTCAGAAAGTTTCTCCACAGCTGAGACGCAGGCCTGTAAGGAAGAGGAGAGACTTTCTTCGTACTGCCGGAGTTGTTTAGCCGCTTCATCCACTGTGGGTTCCTCATCCTCTTTCCAGGCCATTATTGCCAATGAGCTGGCATATGATGATGGTGCACTCCGTACAAACTTCCGCCACATGGGTCGTGTACACTTGACTTCATCTGGGTCTTTGGATGTTTGTCTGAGGTCTGGATCCTCATAAACCACTTCCCGTACGGCTAATTCCCTCAGGTACTGGATTCCCTTCTCCATAGTGGTCCACTTGCCTGGTAGACATAAAAGTTCTTCCTTGAAGGGATACCTTTCCCTCACAGCTGAGAGGAGACGCCTCCAGAGGCTGGTGGATTGTGCTCCATCTGCAATTGCTTTGTCAATGCCGGCGTCTCGAGCAAGGGATCCCAGCCGCTTGGCTTCCCTGCCGTCTAATTCCACACAATTGGCTCCAGAGTCCCAGCACCGGAGCAGCCAGGTGACAAGCTGCTCACCTATACAGCGACCAAAATCTTTTCGCACATCTCGTAGCTCGCGCTCGTTTAGGCTTCGGGTAGTTACTGTTGCTTTTTCGGCATCCTCATATTCCTCCTCCTGAATCCTTGATGGCCCAGCGTCGTCGTCATCTTCATCATCTTTATACCTAGTTTTGGCAGAAGCCTTACCTGGATTGGCAGAAGACTCTCTGCGTTCTAAACGACCTGAATTTCTATACCATATTTTCACCTTCTCTACAGGGGCAGCTTGCACTGCTACTGCTCGTTTCTCTGACTTTGTTACAGGGTCTGCCACAGGGGTTGGAATGCCCTCTGCAGGGGCAGCTTGCACTGCTACTGCTCGTTTCTCTGACCCCGTTACAGGGGTTGGAATACCCTCTGCAGGGTCAACTTGCACTGCTACAGCTCGTTTCTCTGACCCCGTTACAGGGATTGGAATACCCTCTGCAGGGTCAACTTGCACTGCTACAGCTCGTTTCTCTGACCCCGTTACAGGGATTGGAATACCCTCTGCAGGGTCAACTTGCACTGCTACAGATTGTTTCTCTGACACGGCCACAGGAGCTGGAGCGGCTGCAGGAGCTGGAGCTGGAGCTGGAGCAGTTGCAGGAACTGGGACTGGAGTAGCGGCAGGAGCTGGAGCTGGAGCGGTTGCAGGAGCTGGAGCTGGAGCGGCTGCAGGAGCTGGGATTGGAGTAGCGGCAGGAGCTGGAGCTGGAGCAGTTGCAGGAGCTGGAGCTGGAGCGGCTGCAGGAGCTGGGATTGGAGTAGCGGCAGGAGCTGGAGCTGGAGCGGCTTCAGGAGCTGTAATTGGGGCGGCTGCAGGAACTGGAGCTGGAGTGACTGCAGGAGCTGGAACTGGAGTGGCTGCAGGAACCGGAGCTGGAGCGGCTGCAGGAACCGGAGCTGGAGCGGCTGCAGGAACCGGAGCTGGAGCGGCTGCCGAGTCCACCGTAGGGGTCACAGTGGCCGTTGGATCTGTCACAGGGCTTGGAGTGGCCGCAGGGTCTGTCACTAAGTTGATAGCAGTATCAATGGCAGCTCGATAGGCATGAGCCAGGCCCCAGCACGTTACAATGATTTGTGTTACTTTGGAACTGCCAGCATCATGACACCTTTTTTTCAAGCATTCTGCCAGTTTTTGAGGATTTTGCCATTGCTCAGGGGTGAATTTCCAACACACTGGGGGTGCCAACTGCTCTAGATGCCTGCCCATATCCACCCATACTCCCTGCCACCCACAACTATCCTGCCTCCGGGCAGATCTCCGGATGAGCTCCCCAAGTAGTTGTTTAACTTTAAGCAGAATCTGAAGTGCATTCATGAGGCAGAACAACAAGACTATGGTATTCCGAGTATCCCAATAATATTCAATATCTTGGAGAGCTATTTTGACAAGCTCAGGGGATAAGAGGGTGGTGAAGGAGGAAGGCAGATATTTTGAGGGAGAAGGCAGAGTGATCCAGGAGGATACAGGGGTGGTGAAGGAGAAAGGGAGAGTAATCAAGTAAGAAAAATTATCTTCCCCTTTTCCCTCCACAGACTGACTCTCTAATGGAGAAAAACAATAGGTATAATTGCTAATAGTTCCCAAGATACTGTTTCCAAAGTACAGAGTCCACGATGTTACTGAGTATGAATACCAAGTTAGAGTCATGACCAGATATCTTATCGTCTCATAAGCCATTGCTATAATACTCAGTACCATAATGATCTGAAACCAGGGCCCAGAGAGGATAAACAACACTACAGAGAGAAAATACGGAAAATAATGTACTATAATACTCAATTTGGAAAACAGGCGCAGCAGAGTTGAGATTAAAGCAATCAGCATCATGACAAGTGACTATTAAGCAGGTCTAATCCTTACACCAATTTTAGTTTAACACACTCTGATCAGATCTGCCGTTATCTCAACCTTTCGGGCCCCACGTTGGGCGCCAAAAAGGCTGTCGTGGTTTAACCCGGCCGGCAGCTAAACACCACGCAGCCGTTCGCTCACCCTCCCCCCTCCCTCTCTGGGACGGGGGAGAGAAATGGAGAGTGAAGCCCGTGAGTTGAGATAAAGACAGTTTAATAAGACAGGAAAATAATAATAACAAAAATAATAATAACAATAATAATAATAATGATACAATGGTGATAATACGAAAGTAATAGTATGTACAAACAAGTGATGCACAATGCAATTGCTCACCACCCGCTGACCGATGCCCAGCCTAACCCCGAGCAGTCCGGCCCCCTCCCCCCAGCTAGCCACCCCTATATATTGTTTAGCATGACGTCAGATGGTATGGAATACCCCTTTGGCTAGTTTGGGTCACCTGTCCTGGGTCTGTCCCCTCCCAGCTCTTACTGCACCCCCAGCCTGCCCGTTGGCAGGACAGAGCAAAAGGCTGAGATGTCCTTGGCTTAGTATAAGCACTGCTCTGCAACAATTAAAGCATCGGGGTGTTATCAGCACTCTTCTCATCCTAAGCCAAAACACAGCATTCCACCAGCTACTAGGAAGAAAATTAATTCTGTGCTAACTGAAACCAGGACACAGATACAAGAACAACTGCACAACACCATTACCAACGAAACACAGGAGTCCTCCAGTTTAGAAACATCATGTGTTATGACTGACTAATAACCAAAACTAATCCACTGCAGCGGACCTTTATACTCCAAATGTAACTTGAAATTAAGACACTTATTTGAATTAATATTCTAGAAACAACACAACTTCTGCTGATGCTTAAGGTGCACCTGTTTTCAAGAATTCCTTTCCAGACAGCAGATAAATCACAACCTTACCTTCAATAATCCTATTAGGTGTTCTAGACCAGGACCATGTAAAAATACTTCCATGTCATCCAAAGCTGAATAGAAACTGTAAATGTAATCAGATTCAAGGTGAAAACAGTGGAAAATTAAAGCCAAAAGATATCCTCAACAATACATTGCAGAAAAAATCCCAGACAAAGCACTGTCAGACCTAAACCTGCGCGTACCTACTGATAACAGTAGTCTCTCAAAAGCATCAGGGAGTACAGCTTAACCTAGCAAAACTTCATAATTTTGCTTCTGGTCTATTAGGTAGAAAGTAGAGTTGAGCCTGAAGAAAACTACTTTCATAAATGAATGTCACTGTTTAGTAGCAAAACGTTCCGAATGAATTTTAAAGTTGCTCACAAAAGCCTGAAAAATTTCTAAGTGCGGTTTAAGATAAACTGTGTGTTCCTATCAGCTAATCTTCATACAAACTGGATTCAGCCCACAGCTGTTACCCCTTTAAACCAGCTCCATTTAAACCAAAAAACATTATCAAGAAAACAGGAATGCCTGTATTAAAGATAGCAGAAATCAGTCTGGTAACAAATTTGTTGTCGGAAGGCTACTGTTCAGAAGTTAGACTGATGAAGCAGAGTCACTCAGAGTAAGTTCACAGTTTAACATTTATAAACAAAGATAAATCATGAATTCCCCACATTAGTAAAAGATATAAACATTTTAAAAGTTTAAACAGCTTTCAACAATTAGATGAACAGTTGTAATGAACAGAATTAAACTAAAAGCAAATGATACAAAAATCAAAAAGGACTGCTGCAAGTGCGATAGCAATCCTTCACCAACATCTTGAATTTAGAGACAGTTTGCTCTGTCTTCTTGTTGGCCTTGAAATTAAGGTTAGCCTTCGATGTGAAAAGGAGGCAAAGTCATTAAGTTCCTACCGTTAAGATTTGTTAAAAAAAAACAAAAACTTTTTTTTTTTTTTTTCTGAATACGTAAGAAAACATTTCAAGTTTGCACACTGAGAATTCTCGGTAATTCTGTGGGCATACAGGGTCAATTTCAGCAGACAAAACACAGGAAGCGTTTAAAATAGTTTTAGCAGAGTTTAAAGATACTGCCCCTACCACGAAGTTGGGCAGAATTGTGTTATTATCCCTCCCCCCACTGTTGCCTCCAAACTGGGGCGAGGAGGTGAACAACCTGCAGTGATCAATTTTGCTTTTTATTTAGGCACTCAAAGCATCTAGTTGGCACAGGTCTGGGGAGTCCTTTGGTAACTCAAGGCTTGTAGGACAAGGAAAGGACATTTATTCAGCATCTGTATGTTCACTTGAAAGCCTCTCAACAAGATGACGACTCTTTAGAGAAGAGTAATCTGAAGTTTGAGAGAGCAAATTCTTGACAGGTGTTTGCCTCCTTGAACAGTACAGGCACCTGGAGCCAGGACAATTCTCGTTCAGGACAGCAGAAGGCAACGACTGAAGCTACCCTCCCTACCTAATGATCGGAAACGAATGACAGCAGCATCGATGCCAGGTTATGCTCACTGACCACGCACTGTGGGGCACAACTGATACCCAGCACAAGATGATGCATAAGGAGCAGATCGGAGAGGAAACGGAAATTTAGAAGCTAACTGGCAACGCCTGTGATGAAAATTATGCAGACAAACGGCAGGAAGGAGGTACTCAGCTTGAGGAAATACGATGGAGTAAACAAAGGTACAGCATACTTCTTGACCGTCATCAGATGAAAAAAAAAACTCACTCTTTGTGAGTGTGTGTGTGTAAATTAATAAACAACCATTCCCACATACACAGCTTAACAGCCAGACAGCCATTAGACTCAGAGGGACTGCTTTCTGGAACCAGGAGTCACACTAATCACCAGAAACGATACAGACAAAACTGGTAGAGTTTATAAAAAGCCTACTGATGCAGTGAAATCCTACAAGTGCAAAACTGCGTAATACAGAGCTAGATCTGCATGGTCGGACATCTGGCTGCCACAAACTATTTCTTAAGTGGGCTACAGGATTTCAGTGTCGTATTTTAAAAGGTTATCAAGATTACCAAGACACTGGTTCAATGCCCTCTGGCTGCCATCAAGTTTCAACAGCACAGAATTCGGATAACGGCTGCATGGTGCTAAGTCACTTCCTTATTTTATTGGTAACATGCAAGAACAAAGAGGACAGTGCAGATAACTGACTCTACAATGCCAAACCTTCACCCTGCAGCTCTACGAAGTGCCTCTGAGATGACCACAGTTGAAGCCCCAGAAGATGAAAACCTTATTGAGGTAAACGTTTCTCTAATGACCAAACCTGATGAGGCTCTGTCTGAAACGAGGTGCCCTGACACTACCTCCAAACTGCTAGCTTGTGACCTACAGCCAGCCCCATGGTACGGAACTGTGGCATTTCAAATTCAGCATGACATGGCTGAGCAGGGACGCTGAAAACCAACCTGACCAACCAGAACAGACTGCACAGAGACTATGGGCTCTGGAAGTTGTCTTCTGAAAACTATGTCACTCAAGGAGGAAAAGTGGATGGTTTCTTGAGGACTTCTTAGCTTTACGTTCTGGAACAAAACAGTGTCAGACATCTTCAAGGCTGCTGAAGCAGGTGCTGAGTTCACCCAAAGAACACCTGCATGCTTCAGAGTCACGTGTACTTCACTTGGACTTTCTCAAGGCCACCCAAGTGTCTGAATACACGTGGAAGAAAGAATGGGGCACGGCTCGTCCTGGTGGACTAGCACTGAAAACAAGCATTCAGTGAAAGCATTTGAAATTTACTAACAAATGAAGTCTATCAAACGTTCAGTACTATCAAACTGAAAAAAAGTGAAGTGGCACTGGACTCTGCCTCTACTTTACATCAAGTCAGAGGCAGGAAAGATCTAGAGCATGCTCACTGTTCATAATGCAAAGGAACTATGCGGTCTTGAAAAATTTAGAGTATGTTAATATACTTACTGTGGCCTCTTGGTAGTGCTCCAAAATATACGCAACACATATCAGGAAAACTTAATCACATTGATATGAACAAATACAATCTCTCAGGAACGTTTATAAACTGAAGTTATGCTATGACTTTATTTACCCAACTCTGTGGTCAGGGACAGCTGTCAGAAATTTGTAGCTAGCCTCTTGCTTCATCGTTTCATGGTATTTCCCTTGCGAGGGATTTACAGCCAAAGAGAGTAAACTATAAATCTGAAAGAGCCAAATGAATTCATTAGTATTTAACTTAAAACGTGTAAAGAAATACACAGAAGTAAGACTACAAAGAGATCTATCAGAAGTTACTACACACGGAGAACATCAAACATCTGCCATCTCTTCTCTCTAAAAGAGCTACAGGGAGGAGTTAAGACTAAGCCCACAGAGCTTATCAAGAGCATTTCTGAATTAATCAAAATCAAAGCTCAACACTGAACTGATGCAAAGCAAAATAATGTATGTAATGTAGTCCTGCATCATCCAGCAACAGCGGTAAGCAGATTTATTTTAGGAAAATATATGCTGTTTTCAGCAGCTCTCTTTACGCTGATAATGAGTTGCTGCTCTTCCAATGATCTGATGACCAATTTATATTGTTTTAGACTGTCTTCCCTTCCGGAACAGGTTTGGAAGGCAGCCAGTACATACCGCTGACTCCCCCGTTTCCCCCTTTTAGCTTTAGCCTTTTACCTTCCAAATTCAACCACAAACTACACACTGCAAAATAGTTTAATATCTACATTCTCTCACACACTTGGGCATACAGAAGGAAACGTGTTCTTTTACTACTTCTCATATCAACAGTACCGACATTAATAATCCCTTGTCAAATCTGTATTTCAAAGTCAAGGCTTCTACAGAAAAAAGGGAATTATCCCCAAACTTAAAAAAAAAAAAAAACCCACACACAAAAACAAACCCATAAAAGCACTCAAGCACTGTCCTAAGTTGGGATGTAACAGAAAGTAGTCAGCACAGATGGAACAGGAGATGTATGCAACTAGCTGCTACAGTTTAGTTATTAAAGTAACACTTCTACAGAAAATTTCTGAGGCAATCTCAAACAAGTAAACAAACAAAATAAACCCAAACCCTCAGAATCTGCATCTCAAAAAGAAATGGAGTACCTCTGAATGCTTATTGATTTTTGCTAGCTCTGCTGCTGTCTTCTCATCCTTAGTCTGTAGATTTTTGTCAGCTCCAAGCTCCAGCAACTTAAAAATGACATTTTTGTGTCCATGGTGTGCTGCCCATATTAATGCCTGCATAAGAACAGTTTTGTTTTTATCAAGTTTACATATGAAGCAAAAAAAACCAAAAAGAATAGAGGTTCAATCAATAATACAACCTGCGTAACTTCTTACATGGCAGAATCCGGAGACAAAGATGGTGCAAAACAATCTCAAGGTGGTGGTAAAGGAGTGTAACTGAGCATTTTTGAGGAAGGTACACTAGAAGCAAGCTTATGGGCTCCTGTTTGTACATTGTTTTTTAAACTTTGGTTAAAATACATGGAAGTAAATCACTTACTGAACATCCATCTTCATCTTGGGCATTTATGTGTGATCCATGAGCAACAAGAAGACCAACAACACGAGAAGAGCCTTTTCTAGCTGCATACCTCAACGGAGTCATTTGTCTCCTGAAAGGAATGGGGACAAGAACATCAAGATGTTAAAAGCTCACTGCATTATCAAGGGGGGCACCTCAATTCAGTGAAGACTGAATATGTGTAGAGCAATTCAGAGGAAGAAAGCCCATGACACCACAGTCACACTTTACCACAAGGTTCAGTTTAACAGAACAGAGATTCAACAACTTAGATCAGCTACCATGTTTTAAAGCATTTTAAGAGTTGGCATTTATTTTCTAAATGAAAGGAAGTCAAGTCAAATGGTGCATTGAAACAAAAATATCCTTAACCCTTCCCAGATATGAAACACAGGAACCTGGGTGACTAAACCATTTCTGATTTGGTTCTTAACTACATGAAACTTTTTTTTTTTTTTCCTCTTTAAAGACCATCTCTCTTGATGCTACCAGAGACCCAGCGGTGGGCCTCTCATTTAGCACATGGAGCACATTAATCAGGGAATAAGGACAGGTGTAGATCAGTGTTTCCACCTTATTAAAAGCAGAGAATATTATCAACTTGCCCATTCCTTTCATCTACATGTATTTGGGGAGGGGGGGAAGTAGCACCTTCACTTTTTACTTCAAAAACTTTTTTTTTTTTTTTTTTAGAGAAACACAGTTAAGTGATTAATTCTATACATGGTTTAATTTAAACTGAAAGTTCCAAAAAAATTTACTGCAGTTTGGGGAAGGCAAACTGTAAATCATAATACTCTTCTCGTTAACTATTCAACTATTCAGTTAAAAATAACAACTATGTATGTATTTGCAAAATTATCTCTGGTGAAAACAATATAAGCCAAGAATCACAGGTCACACAACTCCTGTGAGTGTGCACAGCTGCAGTGTGAGTGCAGGGTGCACGAGCACAATTCACATTCAAAATGTGACCTGTGAATGTCACTCAGGTGAAATCTTCAGAAAATTACAGAGAAACACCACACTAAGTTGTTTGTTTTTTGTTTTTTTTAATGGTATTTTTTAAAATAAGTTTTTAAATGGTAAAAACAAATGTATATCAAAATATTTTTGTCCTTTGCCTCGTTTTGTTCTCTGTTCCTGAAGTGTTGACACTTTCTCTCCCTATACATCCATAGGTATATTATGTAAATATATATACATATATATATACATAAAGTTATTTCTTGCAATTGGCTAAGTAGTAAGGACTTACAGACACTATCTTTCCCATTATTTTTTTTATATCCCAAAACTGTGTTGACAGCAGTCTACTGATCTTATGCTTCTACTCAGATGCTTTTTTATGGTTGTAAAATGAAACCACAGTGAGTTGGTTTGAATATTCTGAAAGAAAAAAAATATTCCTCAAATGTTTCCATTTAGAAAAGTATTTTTTGAGAGTCCTGACACTTACCCTTTGAAGGACTAAGACCACAGAACTTACAAGGCTTGGAAGAAAGTTGGATTTTCTTGTTGCTATGAACTAAGAAGCTATAAGCTGAAATATTTTACTAATGATGTCTGATTACAATTAACTGTGTCTTTAAATACAATTTTTTTTATTTTTTTTTTTCCGAAAGTGTCATATTTTAAATGTACAGCTCTGTGACAAAAATTTGCTGTCAAAAGTTTATGTTGCGAGGATGCAATTTGAGGGACTTTCCTAAACTTTATCCATTTCTTAAGTACAATGTTGACCACTAGAGGGACCCCGAAAAGCATATGCATATCAAAGCAGATGCCTTAAAACGCTGACTTTCTGCTTACTTCAAGAATATTGATAGAACTATGGCTTTGCTTATCTTTTTTTTTTTTTTTCTTATTCACAAAAGGTTCTGCTAGGTTACTATTTTGTCTTACACAAGCACAGTTAAAAGTCTACTGAAAAAACAGGCATATAAATGTGAAGAAGCCATCTGTTACTTGGAAATACGGAAAACGGAATGTAACTACACCTTCTCGAGACGCACATTAATAGGAGAAAAATCTGGTAATGAAATGAAGAAGAGATTTGCACTGGTCTCCCAATTTATTTTAGCCCATCAACCTTTTCAAAAGTAGAAGTTCTGACTGAATGTACGGAAATATTTTTCTTATAATAAATAGGGTGCATTGGTGGATTCTGATCTTGGGTGGATTCTTATAATAGGGGCAACTGGTGGAACTAGTTGCTCAATAAGTTTTCCTGGTCCTCTTTCTTCAGCAGTTTTAGAGGCCAAACAGTAACCTAGCTGATGTCATAGCTGATGTAGCTTAAAGAAAATGCTGGACTAAAGAACTCCTGATGTCCCTTCTGACCTTAATTACTCCATGATCCTATCAAGATTACTGCAAAAAAACAGAGAAAAACACTCTATCGTCAGTCCCTCTAACTTAACTAAATAATGCTATATATACACACACAATGTCTATATAGAGACAGAGACCTATAAACATCAGCATCATCATTTTAAAGAATAAACAGAAAGTTTAATACAACCATAATAATTTTGGTAGCAACAGAATCAAAGGTACTGCCCAATGCAGACACTGCCTTCCCACACTTATTTGCATTTGGTGATAGGGCAGCCTGTGACAGACTTCCATGCTACCACCTTTGAAGTATTTCTGTCTACAAGAACAGTACATTCCCATCCATTTTCATTTATTCTACTTCTAGTATTTTTTTTTGAAACTGCACACCGCTACTATGTCGCAATTATCTTCTGCTTTTTCAAAGAAAAAATACTGAACAAAGTCCAGAGGCAACAGAACACTCTTTCTCCAAAGTACAACATGTAGAGGCTACAACTGCACACGTACTGCAGGGATAATATCTGAAATCAAGGCAACAACTTGATGACGTGAAAGGCCACTGAGAAAGTACTTCTCCCTTTCTAAGTAAAACCCAATTAATGTGAAGTTTAAAAGGTCCACCATCACAAATAGGCAATTCTGACTTCAGGCATTCCAGTTTTCATTTACGTTTTAAATTGAAAAGCTACAGCCTGTTTCAGGGTAGAAACAGTTTACAGCGCTGCTTAAATATGCAACCGCATTTATGCAGCACAATCTATGAGGGGATACCCATGCTATGTCTTTGACAAAACTACTTCTTTGGAAAGCAAGGCCCATTTACATGTATGTCTGAAAGTGGGGAGAACGAGCTTTAGGGAAGAAAGCAATAACAACTTCGCTATCCCAACCCTGTAAAAAAACAAAACCAAAAAAACCCTGCAAATAGGAACTGCAAGGTTAAGATCCAAAACATCCAACATTTCTTGTTGAAGACACGGTACATCTTACTACAATCTAAAAAAGCCATACACATACAGCATAGTGATAACAATCCAAGTAAATGATCTGAAGAATCCTCTCTTCGTTCTGAGGAACCTTGCAGACACTCTAGTTTCAGCAACCTGGCTCACAGAAGTACCTGTGTACCTGTTTTGCAAGAACCGTTTGAAGTCCTTTGACGTTGCGCAATTTGCCACATGGCATTTGCCCATGTTGGACATGATACTCAAGGGTTAGTCAATATAAAATAGATACAAATATTAGAATGCACATAAGCAGCTTATTAATCAAACATGATGTAAGTTGAACCTGTTGTGCAGAATTCACCACGTCTGACAAACACACATTCTTCTGGTTGGAATCACTCTCAAGCAAAACAAAGCCCACCTTTCTAGAAGATTCTCAATGAGGGAGGAAAGGAAGAGATGTCTTCCACCCACACGCATGTTTCTTTCCATCAAAGAGATATTTGTACAAAATTTAGTAATGCAGCTTGATAATCTTGAGAAGAATAAGTTGTATTTAAAGTCTCACAACTGCAGAAAGGTTTATTTCCTAAAACGATATATCACTAACATTAGGGGAAAAAAAACATAGCAGGTAGCAAACAACCTTATCAATTTAGTCTCTAATACTTTCTTCTTGAGACCCCAACGAGAGGAAAAGCTACAAGACAGCAATATTTTAAGTAGTTAATCTGTGAACTGAATATTGGTTCAGGAAAGCAAGAAGCATCTTCAGAAGCTTTTGGAGCCAGTTTCTTAACTCCAGTGATGTACATTATGCTTACAACTGAGAAATGAAACAGTGGCAGTGTGCCCATAGCAACAGAAGTAAAGCTGTCTGTCCCTTTTCAAGCTTACTAGGATTTTAAGGAGCGAGGTGGAAAACTCTGTACAACAAACAGGATTAGAAGATCATACGTTAGCAGGTTGTGAGCTGCAATGCACTTTTTTAAATTTTTTAAAAAAGCACTGTTTTCTTAAAAGCAAGGTGGCAGAAGAACATTCTACCATCTTGAAGGAGAACTTGTTAGGAGAATTAAGCATATAGTTCTAGTAAGAAGGCTGGGGTAGAATATATGTCAGGCTTAGTTTCAGACTTCAGTTTGGACCACCGTTCTTTTATGTTTCTGTTTCTCAGCATTTGCATAATTCTGGTAAAACAGATAGAAAATAGATACGTAAGTTCTACATAACACAGGAGATGAAAAAGTAGACAAAGTAATTTTCACACAGCTAGAAGTCTACAACGGAGGTGATTATAAAAGTGATTAGCATAAAAGGTAACAGTGGGGACTGCAAATGCTATGACATGTTCAGTCATCCTGCCCTGTCCTTCTACCTCCTCACACTGTCCCATTTTTACAAGCAAAGTGGTTTAGCTGAAGATGCAGCATATTCTGATGTAAAAGAGAAAAACAAGTAAGTAATCCACATTATCACGTGGAAAAAAACAAAAACAAAACACCACCACCAATTCTATGCAAATAACCATGAACAGTGAACACTACTACCAAAAGAAGAAGCCGAACATACTTGAGACAGAACCTTGCTGGTATAATGCTAATGGATCGCAGTGCAGGTTTTGTTTGTTTTACAGAAAGGCTGCTCAGGGGACATCCCAAGACATGAGAATATATTGTTCTTCTCAGAAAGCCTGTTGGGAACAGTGTCTAACATTGGTACTGTCCCAGAGTATCTTGTATCTCTGCCTCTGATTAACAGTACCAAGCCTGGTGGTACCACTGTGCATTCAATACTAGCTGAA